TACCTGGTGCGCAGCGACAACCAGGGAATCGCATACGACAGTCCTGTGGACATCCACAAAACTTGCTGCAAATTCCACTTCCTGATGAGCACACGCAAAGGGCATTTCCGTCGCAGTGGCCGCTATGTGAGCAAGGAATCATGCGTTCCTTATTTTCGACCTATAAACTTAGTAGTCTTCGTATTCTAGAAACTTTGAAAGGAAACCTCTCCTTTTTCCCGTCTACACAATAAATGAGAGCAAACTATCTACTCTTACCTGTCCCTTTCCATCTGCCCAAGTGAAGGAGCGGAAGGATCTGTGCTTGTCTTTAATGGATCTAAACGTAGTAAACTGCTGTGAAGCTTTGATACAAATGTTTGTTATAACCGTGCCACTAACACTTTCTTCTGCTCTGGAGTAAGACTAGGATTTGCTTGGGCTAATTGGGATGCAAGTTGGTAGATCTGAAGATGAATTTTCCTCCTTTGCGTCTACCATTATTTCACATCGTAATGAAAATTCATCAAACCTCTCTGCATGTTTTCGGCTCTGCTCCGATGTCTTCACAAATCATTTTCATTTCTGCTGCTATTATACAAATTGATGTCTTTTCTCCAGCTAATAATGATACCAGGATATTCATCAAGGTTGGATTTGAATACGATGCAACTTTTCCATTTCGTGCGCTCGGTGGTGTTTGGGGAGTTCCATTTGTTTGGATTTTTCGACTTCTCGGCGATGTTGGAGTTTTGGCCGTAGCCGTAGTTCCTTTACAATTTGTTGTTGTCGCCTTAAGCAGACGTTTCACATTTTATAATAAGACGATGTTGTAAGTTTAAAAATATAAATTCTCAGTTCAGATTTGGCAAAAAAAAATTAACAATAGAGATATCATGCACTGTATAATCAACATATGAACAGACAAAGAAAGAGATAGTGTGAATAGAATAATACCAACCCATTGCTCTGCAGTGGTCTCCAACAGGTGGCAGTTGGGTCCACAAGGCGTGGGTCTGAGAGTTCTTTCTCCTTGGCGACGTTTAAAGGGTTTCACTTCCTCATCGTAGGGACCTGCTGGAGATAACTTTACGCCGTGGCAAAACCATCAACGAGCAAGCAGCTTTACGAGAGATCTGGAGCCAAAAGCCAACAGGACCACTCACCATGCAGCACACAATCGTACTGATAACATCTTTCGCAACACAACACATTCACAGAGTGGAAGTTCTGATCACTACGGGATTTTAATTCTTGTGTGCTTTTTGAAGGAGTTCTTCCAGGTGCAAACCTCTCTTCGAGGTCTCCGCGCCTGAAAACAGCTACGAATTTGGTTTGATGCGAAAAAGTCCCAAAACTTACGCTGTGACCAGTTGGCGATGAGAGAGCTTGTTAGGAAACAGCTTAAAAATTGCGTAATAGATGTGATCCATAATCTCTGGATTGAAAATTTGTAAGAAATAACGAGTACAAACGAACAAAAACTGAGTCAAGTACTAATCAAAAAACGAACTTTCAGAACTTGGACGGTCTTCCCAATCAGTTTTCAAAATCTCCAACATTTGGAACATTATGTAATCATTAATGTATTTATCGCATCCTCGATCAGCTCCATGGATTCCCTGAGTTAAAAAAACATAGCGATTGTTAAATTTGCATGATTCTTTGCTTCACACTCTAGTGTACCGCATTCAAAAGTTCTGAATAAAAATCGTTTTATTAAAGATGTTTTGAGCATTGTTCGGTATTTTCACTTAAGAAAGTTTCTGTTAGACAAGCATTCCCTAACAATCCCAAATATAACATACAGTCCCGACCCCGTTTTTCTGCATCTATTAAGTCGTGCGATATCTATGCATGTATAATACTTAGTTTCAGAAAAAGTTTCCATGAAAGCATAAAGAATAAAACTCGGACATTCATTAACCCCGAATTTGGGGATGTGCCATGCATTCAGCTCCATGTACTTTAAAAAATAATAATTGCAACATAATTCAAGAAGATAATATACGACTACCAAAATTCTTACATTCCCA